ACTCGATCAGCGGCAGCTACTGCTCCCAGGTCGTGGGGTCGTCGCACGTGGCACGAATCAACTGCTCCATCGTCTGATTCGTCCGCTCCGTTTGGCCGTCGGTCTCGGGGTGGTACGACGAACTGAACTGTAGCCTGGTCCCGAACTGCTCCCAAAGGTTCTTCCAGAAGTTGCTGGTGAACTTCGTGTCCCTGTCGCTGATAACTGCTGCTGGTATCCCGTGCAGGCGAACAACGGTTGCGATGAACAGGCGAGCGGTCTCCTCGGCTGAGATCGACTTTTTGCACGCAGCGAAGTGTGCCATCTTCGTCAGCCTATCCACGACGACCATCACCGCGTCGTTACCCCCAGGGTTCGAAGGTAACCCTGTGACGAAGTCCATGGTTACTTGCTGCCAGGCGCGTTCGGGCGGTGGGATCGGCTGCAATTGACCCGCCTTCCGCTTCCTTGAACTCTTCATCACCTGACACGTAGGGCACGAGCCCACGTGTTGCTGTACGTCGGTCAACAGCTCCGGCCAGTAATAATACCGCTGCAGTTGCTGTCTTGTTTTTTCTACCCCGAAATGTCCCGAGGTAATCCCGTCGTGTGCCTCCTGCAGTAGCAGCTCCCTCAGTAGTGAGTACGCAGGTACCCAAATGCGGTTGGTGCCTGTTTTTACGTAATAAACTCCTTTTGCTTCTGCCAGTTGTTGTGAATTCCCGGTCGTGAAGAATGGGTCGGTTCGATATCCGTGGGTGAATAGGCCAGTTAAAAGCGGGTTGGTCTGGGCGAGTAGGATGGCATGGAGTTGGGCGGTGGGGCGGGTGAGAGCGTCGGCGATGTTGGATGCGCCTTTTTTGTACGTAACGGTGTAGTGAAAATTGGACTCAAGATAGTCCAACCAGCGAATCTGTCGTGAGTTAAGATTCGGTTGGGCGCGAAGGTACTGTAGTGAGCGGTGGTCTGTCCGTACTGTCACGTCGGCGCCAGTCAGGTAACACCGCCAAACTTTGAACGCGTGCACGATCGCCAGCATTTCGCGGTCGTGTATCGTGTAGTTGCGTTCGGGCGGGTGTAGCTTGCGGGACTCGTACGCGATTGGCTGGAGGCCGTTCCCGAAGTCCTGCAACAGTACTGCTCCCACAGCGATGTCGCTTGCGTCGGTGACGAGCTCAAACGGACGGTGGGGATCTGCGATGTGAAGCACGGGCGGGGAGCACAAAATATTTTTGAGGGCCGAGAAGGCAGCTTGCTCTTTCTCCCCCCACGTGTACTCAACCCCCTTCCTCAGCAGGTCAGTCAACGGGGCAGTCAGCTTCGCCATGTCGGGGACGAACCGGCGCACGTAGTTGACGAACCCCAGGAAACTCTGCAACTCGGTCAAGTTGGTCGGCGCGTGCGAAGCCTGAATCGTCGCAATTTTCTTCGGGTCTATTTCCACTCCCGCAGCTGAAATAACATGTCCCAAAAACTCCAAGCGGTCCTGTAAAAACTCACACTTAGATGCTTTGGTCAGTAGGCGATTCTCACTTAGGATTTTAAAAACTGCTTCGATGTCTTGTAAGTGCTGTGCTCTGTCAGGGCTGTAAATCAATATGTCGTCCAGATAAACGATGACGCATTTATCTAAAAGCGGGCGGAATGCTTCGTTCATGGTCATTTGGAAGGTGGCGGGGGCGTTGGTCAGTCCGAAAGGCATGACAGTGTATTCGAAGGATCCGTAGCGTGTTCGGAATGCGGTTTTAGGGCAGTCGGGTGGGTTGACGCGGATTTGGTGGTAGCCTCCCCGGAGGTCAATTTTCGAGAAAACCCGGGCTGTGCGCAGTTGGTCGATCAGTTCGTCGGCTCGTGGGATGGGGTAACGGGATTTGATGGTAACCCTGTTCAGTGCCCTGTAGTCGATGCACATGCGAAAACCCCCGTTCTTTTTCGGTGTGAACAGTATGGGTGCGGCGAAGGGCGACGAACTAGGGCGAATGAATTCCTTCTCGAGCAGGTAATCGAGCTGCTTCCTCAGTTCGTCCAGTTCGGGTTGGGTCAGTCGGAACTGTCGCTGTACTGTTGGCTGTGCCCCCGGTTCCAGTTCTATCCTGTGATCGTGCGGTCGCTGAGGTGGCAGTCCCGTCGGTAAGTCGTCCGGGAAAATGTCACTGTACCGTGTTAACAGTGCCGCCAGATCACTCGGTACGTCAGTCAGCAGTTTCTATAAATCTCCTCCCTTGTCTGCTGCCTCGGCTTCCCGAATATCAACCGCGTACACGTCAGCTCCGGCCGCTACAGCGCGTTTCATCGTGATCGCATTGACACGCACCGACGAAGACTCAGGCGAGCCCCAGCGAGGTAAGGCGATGCTGTTACCGTTTACTCGCACGGTGCAATCACCCGTCATCCAGTCAATTCGCGGATTGTGTCGTCGCAGCCAATCACGCCCGAGTAAAATGTCGGTTCCGTCGAGGGTCGTTGCAAGCATTTCCTGGCTAAACGTGAATTTCCCCCCGCATCGAATCCGAACTCGGTCTACGCGTTCCCGTATTGCCAGCGGCGTGCCGTCTACCAGTCGTGCGTCGATCTCAGGTAAGCATCTGTCCAGTGGCAGTCGCAGTTTTCGTGCTGTAGCAGTGTTAATGAGGCTGTGGCTGGCTCCCCCGTCTACAAAGATTTTAACTAAGTTCGTCCCAATTTTCCCACTGAGCAGTATAGGGCTGTCTACCGTGGTACCCTCCTTATTCGGCCGGGTGTGGTCGATTGCGTGAACCGGCACAATCACTCGGTGAGGGTCGGTTGGGTCGGGCGAGCGGCGTGACCTGTCAGTAGAGGGCCCGTCTGCTACTGACTTCCAGCGTTTCCCTGCTGCTTGGTCTGTGTCTGCTGCTCAGCTTCCCCCTTTCCCTTAGCGTTTTCCGGGCATTCGCTCTTGCGATGTCCCGGCCGATTGCACGCAAAGCAGCGCCCTTTGAACGGTGCGGCAGCGGCATTTGCGGCGACGGCGCGTATCGTGGCGCTCTCGTTCGTCCCACGAGGCCGATGTCCCCAGTTGTTGTTTCCGTAGGACCCCGGTCTCGGTCGGCGAAAGAAGTCGAGCTTCTCCGCCATAGCGAGAATTTCCTGAAATTCGGTGACGCCGCGAAGCTGGATTTCCTGAGCGATGTCCTGCTTCAGGCCGCCGATGTAGCGGTCAATGCGCTCGCTCTCATGCATGTAGCCCACCTGTTCGCATAGCGCCAGAAATCCGCTCGTGTAATCCTGGACGGAACCGAGTTGGCGCCAAGTGCGGAGCTTCTGTCGCGCCGAGATCGAAGCCGCAATTGGCTCAAATCGAGCGAGCAAACCTGTGCACCACGCGTCCCACGTGCGATACTGGGGCACCTCCACGAAATACGACGGCGCCCAGGGTCCGGTTTGTCCTTCCCGTGTCGGTAGTGTCGCGTAGTCTGTCGGCTTCGTGACGATAACGCGCCACCAGTCCATGGCGGGTCCTCGCAGCAGCGACACGGCGTATCGAATCTTCGCCGAGTCCTCCGAGACGTAGTTGGCGTCGAAGAAGACATTCATTGTGAATAACCACGCCTGAACGGTAGGACCACCCCGTTGACTCGGGTCAAAGCATGGCGGGCGCTGCGGCTTCAGCGGCATCGGTGACGGCAGTCCCGAATCGTGGGTTGGTGCCGAAATCGTGACGCGAGGCTGACTTGGGGCCGCATGCGTCGCTCTGGGGTGTGTCGTGCCGTGGTCGTCGTCCCCGTCGGGGCGGACGACGCCATCACTGGCCGCGCTCGCGGGTTGCCCCACACTCCCGTGTTGTGATGTCGAGGGTGCAGGTTGAATCGGAGTGGCAGGTGCTTGAGATTGTGCTTGTTGTGCCCTCGTGAGGTCATTTTGCAGCGATGAACGTTATGCCGTCAATGCCGCGATTTCCTCGGAGCTTTCGCGCAGCTGTCGCAGCAGATCGTTCAAACGCTCCTGCGTGAGGGTGGTGACGTCGATATTTTCAGCCATGACGAAGGGCGTCGGCTCGTCTTAGTCTAGGCGCAGTCGTGGCTGCACGCGTTTACGAGAGAACGCGAGGGCAGCGGCTCCTAGGGGCTAAGGTGCGTAAGTCCCTTCGAGTGAAAAATCAAAAGTTGATTTCCTGGTGTGCGAAGATGCGCGGTCCGAAAGAAAGGGGCTCGGATACCAAGTGTTACGGGTGCAATGAATCGAGGCAGCGAGAATTGCACTAAGGTGTCAAACGAGTACAAAATGTGAGCGAAGGCATGAGCGAACATTTATACGCGAAACATGCAAAACGGTAACACGGTGCGTGCGAGCTTGCTAGTGCTATGCTGGAGCGAGGCTCGGGCTAGTCCCGAAGCGTAGGCCGACACGGCCATGCCAGCAGTGCGAGGTTTGGCAAAACAGTGCGCGCGAGGTCGGCGAAGTCCCGTTAGCAGTAACGGCGAACAATCGGCTGTTGCTGTACGCGATGTAGTCGGCTCCGTAAGGAATGCCGAGAAAATTCCTTACAAGTCGTGAAGTATGAGGGAAACTACCGTATCATTATTGCAAGCTTCTCGTTTTCTCATACGGAACGTGGGAAAGTGTACTCCCATTCAAACTTCAAAGAAGTATCGGTTGACTGTATCGCAATCGGATGCGCCAATTGCACAGGAGTCGTCGATTGACCTCTAACATGACTGGATACGTCGAACTGTCCGTCGATCACTCTCTCTGGTCGTCGTCACCAAGGCTGCTATGGCGAACCGCGGATTCCTCTGCGAGCATTTACCGACAGCATCGGTCACATTGACGTGCAGAGGATTCCAGTTAGTGCTGACGGGCTTAGGGAACAAAAGTTGACGTTTTAGCCTGTGTGCATGGTCGCCACCAATAGCTGCTCGCGAAGCACAAATTCGCTCTGACGGGCATCCGTGCATGCGCAACGAACGAATTTCGGCAGTGGTTCCCCTCCCTTCCTCCAGTGGTTCGTAGCAGCTGCTGGAACTTTCCAGCACGAGCAGCTATAAGCATCGCAACCTGAGATGGGGAGATACGTTTCAGTTGTTTTGAGTGCCTGTTTTGTGGTTTTCTGGACTCCTTCAGCAGTTTTATCTCAAAACTGCTCGTGTTCCCCAGCCAACATGACAATCAAGGCTGTAGTGGTTCTTACCGGCTCCGAGGGTGTCAATGGCACTGTCACCTTTGAGCAGCTCGAATCTGGTGAGTCTCTATGTCTTCCTAATACACTCTTTTACGGTGAAAATCAAAGTGACAGTGACAGTGACATCATGATTAATTGTTCTGACAAAAAGATCGCTATCTGTAACGCCGTGCTATCAGGCTCGACTGTGGTGAACGGCAAGATCACTGGCCTCAAGCCCGGGCTTCACGGATTTCACGTGCACGCCCTGGGTGACACCACGAACGGCTGCATGTCCACAGGTCGCACTCATATCCCTGCCCCCAGAAATGAAATCGAATTGTTTACCGCTTGTCATTCGTAAGTTCGTTCGAAATCGAGGCACCTCTGCCTGTCTTGCCGTTTTCTGTATTCTTGATTTGTTAAGTTTGTCCGCGACGGAACGTCTGCCCGTATCCTATATCCGCCTCTCGTGGTCTTTGCCTTGGATTCACGTCTATCATCGTTGTTCTTGCCCGAATTCACGTTAGTGCAAGATCCTCTGACACATCTCGACCTTGGAAGGTCTCTGCAATTTCATCAATTTGCGTACGTTGTCGGTTTCCGCCACTGGCTGATCTACGTCAGGCCCGCACTTCAATCCGGCGAACAAAACTCACGGCGCTCCGGAAGACGAGGAGAGGCACGCGGGAGACCTTGGGAATGTCGTTGCTGATGAGGCTGGTAAGGGTGCCTTTTTAGAATGGAGACCGCCATTCAATAGTTTCGCGTTTCCACTCGCTCTTCTGCATGACCATGTGTTTGTGCAAGTTCCTACCAGGTGTAGTGAGAAGTTTGCAAGCTTCTTACTTCCAAGTCTTATTCTGGAATTGGTGCCGTGATCGTTTTTGCAGGGGTTGCGGAGTTCACCATAACAGATTCACAGGTATGCATTTGGCTCTCAGTTCTCCCTTCCCCAAATTGTGATTTCTCTTCAAGCTTCAGTGCAATTGCCGGCCACGTACTATCATGCACTCATCCTCCCCCCTCCTCCACCCCAACCTTCAGATCCCTCTGTCTGGCCCTAACTCTATCATTGGCCGTGCTGTTGTCGTGCATGCTGACATCGACGACCTTGGCAAGGGTGAGAGCATGCAAGGAGGGTGATGAGTGAACAGTGGATTGTAAGGGTGCGTCAGATCCGTTGTCGGAAAAATCCGGCCGGCCGGATCTAGCGAAGGTTACACATTCACGACATTCGCAGGATATTTCGTTAACTTCGCACAATCCGGCCACCTGATAAAAATTTGATGGCCGGTTTGATGGCCGGTTTAGCATTCGACAACTTTCCGACGTGCAAACGAATCGAGAGTCGACCACTTTGTTGACTCGTCAGCGCTACAGTACTATGCGACTTGGCCAACTTACCCAAGCGACTCAACGTGTCTGATCGTAGTGTGCACATTAGCGGTCGTGTCACTTCAGTAACAATACATGCGACTCCGTCTCACAATCCGGCCAACTGTGCGACCTGCAAATCTGACACTTTTGCAAACCAGCCTGTAAATCGGCCACCAAACCTGTCAGATTGCAACACCTTGAAAATGTGGCTGGATGGTGGTCGGTTTAGCATTCGATCATTCGGCCGACTTTGGCGAAAAATATAGTCGACCAAAAGGGCGACAAATTTGCAGCCAAATTTGTAGCGGATCTGACGCACCCTAAGGTCTGCTGGTGGTATTCTTGAGAGGATGTAGTCGGATAATAAACCTCACGATTTGTATATTTTGAATCGTCATGCATCTGTTACCCCATCCAGGTGGTCACGAGCTCAGCAAAACCACCGGGAATGCTGGAGGCAGGCTTGCATGCGGTAAGCTAACCACTACCACATCCAACTTCATGTGGTTCCGGTATGAATCCGTGGCTATCCTAGTTGAGTATGTATGTACCGGGCTCATGAGTTTCTTTTTGTCTCTGGCAGGTGTTATCGGCTTCCAAGCAGCAGCTTAGATAATCACTTAACCAGCTTACCCAGAGAAACGTCAGTATGATGGTTTCGGATTACTGAATTGTAACGATACAACGATTAGTGGAACATTTTCCTCAAGGATCCAGATTTGCACTTATCTTGCCGAAGGCCACGTGTGCGCTGCTGACGTGTTTCCAGACGTGGAAGCGTCAGAAAGAAGACCAAATTCAGGAATCTCTGCAAAAAGCCAACTCGTAAGCGAATCACAACTGTGACACCTTTCCCGCACTTCACACCTGAAACGTCGCCCAGAGTAGTCTAATAACCCGGTTTATAGTACGTTACCGTATGGTGCAGTACTGTGCTCGGTACCTCTGAATTCCCCTCCAGAACTGGTCACCTACATGTTCCCATCACCATCGCATTCCAAACCACAAAGCTACCGTAACCAGCACGCTTCAGCTGCCAAGATTCCACAGCGCCAATTGCGGGTCCGCCATTGCCGGTTCTCCGCCTGTGAGGAACTTGTTGCCCGCTTCGCCACCCAACGCAATGGCATCCTGCGGTCTGATTTCCGCGTCCCTTCGCGTCGCCCCGTCCCTTGCTCCCGCGACTGGTCTCCCCTCGGCTTCACGACCCTCCGTGAACAGCCAATCAGCATGCGCGAGGACGTCCGTGATCCGCGTTCGCAGTAGCATGAAGACGGGATCTTCCGACCTTTCAAGGGGTCCCTCATCTGTCGTTGCCAATATGGCAGTCCCCGCCGTGCTTGCCGCTCTCCTCGCCATGCCCCTCTCCCCCGCAGCCGCGTCGGCAGCAGGAATTAACGCCGTCGCCGTACTGACGGGGAGCTCCGTGGTTTCCGGGACTGTCACATTCTCGCAGGAGGGATCAGGTAAATTCGCGAATCAAATGGTGCATCCTTCAGACTTTCAGATTATTTGGTTACTTTGAGAATGGATGCAATCTGGAATTTCCCAAGATCAAAAGAGGTAGCTATGTACCGTTGGCGGGAGGGATTGAGCAAGGATCAGGCAAATGCGATTTTCATCCCAATATGACTCTGACGCTCCTGAGGCGCCTTGTAACCGGCAGAGGGGATTGGCTATGCTTGACATTGAACAATCGACAATGGCAGAACCCTTGAGCCGCTTCCCCGTCCTTTGCGCCCGCTTCAGGGCTGACATCAACTCTGAAAGCATTTTCTTTTTTATTTCCCCTCCTTCCTGCTGTCCTATTCTCGTTCCTTCTCATCCACTCCCACCATCCTCGAAAACTCCAGGCCCTGCAGAAGGGAGTACATTGGAGGGCTGACTCTCGGGCCTGCCTGTATCGTAATTCCAGTTTCCAGCATCAGGAGTATTCACAGCTCCCATCCCATCCATCCTGCTGATCCCCTATCCTGGTCCTTTCCCCTTTGATCTCCCCCATCTCCGCCATCTCACTTCCCCCAGGCCCCACGGAAGTGAGTGCGACAGTGGCAGGGCTGACTCCAGGCCTGCACGGCTTCCACGTGCACAAGCTGGGGGACCTCTCCAACGGCTGCATGTCCACTGGTAAGGGTTTCTTGTGCTTGTTACAGAGCTGTGCTATAACGAGTCTGAGACAGACTGACTGAAATCCTTCACGGCTTGCACGTACACAAGCTGGGGGACCTCCCCAACGGCTGCATGTCCACTGGTGAGAGCAGGTTGTACTCGTTATAGAGTTTGTGCTATAACGAGTCCGCATGCAACATGTTGATTGAAAGCCTTCCACGTGCACAATGTGGACCTGTCCAGTGAGTGCATGCCAGGTGTGGACTTGTCATATTTATACATAGGCATGGTCATCGTCTGGGCTCTCTTATTTCTATCTGTAGCTGTTATGGTATAGTAATCATGGTGAGAACATTACCCTCTGGTGACTGTCGAGACATCCTAGGTGTCACTTGAGTCAATCATACACTCTTGTCTTTGCCTCTTACGTAACACTCACTGGATCCCTGCCAGGCCCGCACTTCAATCCGGCGGGCAAGACCCATGGAGCACCAGGGGATAGTGAGAGGCACGCAGGGGACCTTGGAAACCTGGTGGCGAATGAGTCTGGTGAGTTGATGGATATCCGTTTGTTGCTATGCAGTTTACGAGGTTTTTTTCTTAGATTTACCAGTCCTGCTTCACAGTTATGAACATCCAAACCCCTTTTTGTCATTCTCTTGTTCTCCCCCGTGTCGAACTATCCAACTCCCTGGTTCAGGTGTGGCAACTGTGTCTCTGACTGACCTCCAGATTCCTCTCTCGGGTCCCAACTCTGTTCTTGGCCGTGCTGTTGTCGTGCATGCTGATGCGGATGACTTGGGCAAGGGTGAGTGGGAAGGATGGGAAGCAAGGTTTTTGGGGCTGAGGTGCTCTTGAAATGATTTTAGAGGCGCCACAAACTCCAGTCTCTGGCTCAGGCTCCAAGTCTGTCCTTGGCTGTGCTGTTGTCATGCATGCTGATGCGGACGACTTGGGCAAGGGTGAGTGGGAAGGATGGGAAGCAAGGTTGGGGTCGCTGTGGGTATGCACAAAGTGTTATCGGGCCAAGGATTTATCTGCGTATTTTCGCCTCTAGGTTCGCTCTTCCACATTTGCTTTGTGTGATTATTTCGCTGTATATCCGCCTAGAACTGTACATATGGTACAGGTTGCCCTTGTGCCAATAATATGTGTATTGTGTGTGATGTGTGCATGGTGATACCGTGCAGGTGGTGTTGAGCTGAGCAAGGCCACGGGCAATGCTGGTGGCAGGGTGGCATGTGGTAAGTTGCTATGCTAGCTGTGTTGACTGTGCCATAATTGTGAAGTATTTTAATTGGTTGTTATTTATCATAGCCGCGCAGCCACGTGGACCCACTTGTATGCTTATCTTTGCATTCACGTCCCCCCCTCTCCCCCCCTCCCTCCCTCACACCTTTTCCCTTGCAGGTGTGATTGGATTGTCGGCAAACTAGATGCACGAGGCTGTTAAAAGCTGCCTTAGGCTGCTTGCATATTGTGTGAAGATGTAAAGAATATGCACTTAAAGCTCAAGTGCAACACCTGCCATTTATCATGTGTTGTGTCCCTGGTTCAGCTAACATTGCAAGATGTTGATTGGTGATGTTGAGGTATAGAGAGTTTTATTCACGCATTATTGTTGAATTTGTATTGTGGTGTAGTCACCGTAACACCGGTCGGGGTTGGTGTTAAAGCGGTTTTTGGCAGTTTCTTCAGTGCCTGCATTTTTCAGCTAGACTGTCGGCGGAAGAATTTAGAAACGGCGAAAAGCATAAACGACACACGATTCCACCAGCGGCATTTTCGTCAATCAGGTTTCCTGGTCAGCCTGTTTTTGCTTCTTGCCCGAGAACAGTTCTACTTGAAGGAAATGTGAAAACAATGTTTACCACTGCGCCCACCCGGCGCCATCTTCGTTCACCACCCCGAACCAACTTCAACGGAGGGGCAAATCACTCCGAGCAAGCGGCAGTTGCGCCTCACCGTCATGTGCGAAAATGGACGACCAACAGCACCAAAAATGTTGCTGGTGGGGCCTCTATAACTTTCAGGGTCCGGTCAGGTGGTTTCTGCTCTGTCACATGGCATGACAAAACCATAGCTGCAGCCAGATCGGCGTGGCTCGGAAACCTCCCGTCTCTAGCGCTTGATATCCCAGGTTCACGACTCCGAGCCTGAAAGGACAAGCCACGGAACTCAACTCTCAAGACTCCGAACCTCGAACTCCAACTTTACTGTACACAATACACTGTCCCTTTCCCTGACCGCAAGCCAAACGAAACCCTCGTCCTGCCTGCCATGCCATGCCTCCCTGCTGCCTGACCTGTCTTCCTCCCCACCGGTCCCTCGATATCTTGGAGTTTCTCCTGCATTCGCCATTCCAGTCAACCGCCAAAAGAGCAGTCTTCACTCAGGAGGAGCAGAGAACAAAGCGACTTCGACTTCAAGTCACAGGTGTTTGTTCCAGTGAGGAGACAGAACAGCTTTCGGAAAGGACAGCAGTACCGTAGTTCCAGGATAAGCTACGTTAGAACGAGGCAACAATAGGGTTACGCATTCGCCATTTACGTGTTCAGAACGTAGCTCCGCTAACCACAACACAGTGAAGTGCTGGTGTTTTGTAGATCAGTAGTGCTTTGTGTCTTGTTACGAGAAGCTGCGTAGTTTCAAGACAG